TCACAAAGAGTTGGACACAACTTAGTGATGAAAAATAGCATCTTGCTTAACATTGCATACAAAAGGGATCTTTCATACTTTGGTCTTAAATTTATCTAACTATAAAATTAACAGAAGGAAAAGGGACAATATTTTTGTGACAGTGATTTGTCAAGTAAATCTTCAAAAGCATTAAGGTTTAAGTAGAGGAAAAAATATAAATCTCATTACACCAAAACATAGGATTTCTGCCAACAAAGAACATCATGGAAAAAGTTAGTGTACAAATGGCTGAATGGGAGGAGATATTTGCAGTATCTAAAACTAACAAGGTTGAGATATAAAGTCCTGACAACCAATTTTAAAAAAAAACCTACAAATTCTAAAAAAAAAAGGAACCTGAGACTATAAAATATGGAAGAAAAATAGGAGAAGTCTTTGTGACCTTGGATTAGACAAAGATTTCTTAGTTACAACATCAAAAGACCAACCCAGAAAAGAAACATTTGATAAATTGGATTTCATCAAAATTAACATTTGCTCTTTGAAAAGCATTGTGAGAATGCAAACAAAATATCTGCAAATCAAAAATATCTGATAAAGGGCTTGTATGCAGAATGAAGAATTCTCAAAACCCAATAAAAAAACAAATTTCAGTTTTTGTTGCTTTTGTTGTTGTTGTTAATGGACAGGCAATTTGAACAGGCAATTCACCAAAGATGGGTCATTGGCAAATAAGCACATGAAAATGAAACCATTTGGTCTTGTTTCTGGGGGTTCCAAAGATCTCCTGTTACACAGTTCTTCATGTCTCAGCACAGAAAGAACTCAGTGAGAGGCAAAGTGACAGATAAGAAGTGATTTATCAGAATAAATAATGTGAGGCTTACAAGCAAGTGGGCGAGAGAATGCCATTCCCCAGAAGTTAGTGCGCTACAGTTTTATAATCAAAGGAAAAGAGGGAAGGAGAAGAACTTGTCTTTCTTGAGTAGACATCATGCTTCCATCATCAGGTCCTCCTCCAGGTTGGGTAGGGAGTTTTCTTGTCCCTTCATGGTTAAGTTAGGTTCACAAATGATTGGTGTGTGTGTGTTTTTTTTTTTTTAATCTGTGCAGAGAGCATGTCCTAGGGATCATTAACTTACTGAGTTCCCTGGGCAGGATGTGGGTCTCAAGCCACCATTGTTTCACTGTTTGGGGGCATATCTTATGCTTCTGTTGCATGGTTTTGCTGCTAAGTAAGCCCACTTGGTTTTGTGGTTAAGCAAACCTGCTCTCCTAAGTAATCATTAACTTACAGGGGTCTCCTATACTTTTTTCTACTTACAATCCCTTTGTGGGATTAACCATTTAATCACCTACTCTATCCCTTTACTCGGTCCCTATCAAAAAGATATTTAACATCATTAGTCATTAAAGAAACTCAAAACCACAGTGAGATACCACTGCATACCAATTAGAATGGCTAAAATTAAAAAGACTGACACAAATTTTTGTGCACCTGGGAAAGTGCAGAGGAACTTGAAGTCTCATACACTACTGATGGGGATGTAAAATAATCTGACCACTTTGAAAAGCAGTTTGGTAGTTTTCCTAACAAGTTAATAGCATATACCCCTTCATATGAAAGAAAAACGAAAGCATATATGCACGCAAAAGTTTACAGCAGCTTTACCTCTAATAGTCAAAAACTGGAAACAACCCAAACGTCTGACAAATTGTAGCATTTCCCAAATGTCGAACAAACTGTAACATTTCCAACACAATATAACACTATTAAATAACTTCTACTCAGCCATAAAAAGAAACTATTGATAAACGCAAAAGCATAGCTGAACCTCAAAGTAATTATGCTGAATGAAAGAAGGCAGATATAAAGAATGGAAAGTTATGTCCATTCACATAGCATTCACATAGAAAATGCAATCTTATCTATAGGGAAACAGGTCAGGGGTTATTTGAGTTAGGAGGAGGCATTCTAGGGGTTATGGCTATGTTCATGATCTTCATCGCGGTGATGCATACTACGTGGTGATGCATGGTTGCACAGATGCATACTACGTCAAAACGCATCGAAGTGTACTCTTGAAATATGCGCAGCTTATTGTGGGGGTCAATTTCTCAATGAGGTGTTTGTAGGAAAGAAAAAGTAATCTCGCGCCCAGAGTCACACAGTAGGAAGCCGCACCGCGCGATGCAAATACTGAAGTCAGCGTTTGGAGCCCGGGTCCTTTACGCCCGCAGCTCCCTGTAACGTTGCCTGCGTGGAAAGTGCTGGAAGGGAACCTCAGCTGTGGTTAATGATTACTGGTGGGCGGCTCCTTCTCGGCCGCGCTCCCGCCCCGGGGCGGCCCGATCGTGGCCACGCCCGACGGCTTCCCAGAGCGCCCGGCGTCGCGCTAGGGGGCTCCGCTGCCACCTGCTGCTGCTACCCGCCTCCGCGTCTGGCATGGTAAGGGGGCTCACGCGCTGCCACCGTCCGGGCAGCGGGTTAGGAGGGGACGCGCGGGAGGGAAGGAGGAGGGCCCGGGGCCCGCGCCCAGGCCAGAGGACCGCGCTAGGCGTGCGGGGGAAGCCTCCCTCCCAGGCCTTCGCGAAGCAGCCGCGCGCCGGGCTGGGAGAGTCGGGGTCTCGGTCCCGCCTCCGCAGTACCCGCAGCGGTGCCGCCGGGGACACTGAGGCCGAGAGGCGGCCGTGGCAGGTTCAGTGACAGCCAGGAGGGAGCCCAGGCCAGAACCGGCTCAGGATCTGGGTGCCTCGGGCAGGGAGTGGGGCGGTGAGGCGGGGATGGGGCGTGGCGGCATAGTGACCCCGCAGACCTAGCCCCCTGGTGGCGCGGCCCTGTCCTATATTGGGGGCTGGCGGGGTGCAGTGGCGGGGAGACCGATGCCTGTGGGGGTGTGCAAAGGAGGGCCGGCTGAATTTCCCCAGTGCTTCTGCCTGCCTGTTTGCTGCCCTTTTCGCTTGCACTTCTGGGCACGGGGTCTAACTGAGCCCCCTCTGCGGAGCCCGGACCTCAGGGCCACCCTCTGGCGCCTAGTTTGAGGCCTGTGCCCAGCAGTGGGGACGTGATTGCTCAGAGTCACACGCCCTCCAGGCTGAGCTTTCTGGGAGGAGAGCGTCAGGCCCTGTGCTCAGCTATAGAGATGAAGGTGAACCTGCAGGGCAGCAAGAAGGGAAGCTTCTAGACCCAGACCTGTACTAAACAGCAAAAACGTTAGGCTCCAAAGCATTAGGAGCAGGTGGGACTGTGGTGACACCTGGGAGGGCACTTTGAAGACCTTGGCTTGAACATAGGGGAGGTGGTAAGTGAGCTGATTGAGAGGTACACTGAGGCTCTGCAGCTGCAGGACGTGGGTAATCAGTAACCCCTCTGCACACCAGCAGAGGCCCAGGCCAAGTCCAGGCCTGACCTGGGATTTTACTAAGCAAACACTGCCCCTGCCCCCTCTCTGAGCCCAGATCTCAGAGGGGTTTGTCAGTTCAGCCCCAGGCTGTGAGATGTGGGGGATTCCAGAAGACTCTAAAGAGAAAAGGGAGCCTCCTAGGAGCCCGCTAGTACCCATGCACTCCTTTCAGAGTCAGTGTACTAGGTGGTAGCTTCTTATGCCTTAGCTGCCATCTGGTCATCTGGTTGCCTGGATACATAGACCAGGCCTATCAGCCACTGAGACGGGGCCAGGTTCTGGAAGAGAGACTGGGTTGACTGGTGATGCAGATCTCAACTGTCCTTGCTGATCTTCCAGAGCCTAGGAGAGGAGACGGATCCATCCAGATCTGTCCAGAGAGAGCCCACGCTTTTCAGGAGGGAGAAAACTGTTGAATTACCAGAACCCTGCAGTGATTTTTCAGTTCTAATCCACACCTGAAGGCCTGTCATAGACCTGCTTGCCCCAGGAAGTCCCCTTTTAAAAATGCAGATAATATCCCCTTAATAGCAATGGAGTTAAGTGTCTCCTGGCTCCCCTTGCTGATTCCTAAAGTGCCAGTTCTTATACTTTTTACCCATCAAGCCAGGAGAAATGAGTGCCCCCAGGCCACCTGGCTTCCAGTTTGCAGGCTGCCTTATCAAAACTGAATTAACTTCCCTCATATTCTTTTCCCAGACCTGACTAACTCACTTTTAATTTAGCACTCAACAGTGTCCATCCTTGGGTAGTTCTACTTCACAGGCCTAAATTCTAGGATCCCTTAAGTTCTGCCACCTGGATCTTTTTGAGAGGCTGGAGAACTCACCTTTCCTTTCTTCTGTTTCCTAAGAGAAGGTTCCACTCATGGCCTGAGTGGTGTCAGTTTGGGCTGCCCCGGGGACATTTTGCACAATAGGAAAATAGGCTGAGGCACTGCACTGGCCATTTGCCCTTGGCCAAGTTACTTCTGCTTTGGGCCCGAGCTCTGGCTCAAGCTGACAGAATAGAAAAGAAGGTGGAAATAAACATAGGCCTGTCAGCGGGGAACCAGAGGCTGTGTAGGAACGAGGTGGGGTACCCACTGGGAGGTAGTGCCAGTGGCTAAGAATCTCCTGGAACATGTCTTAAGTGCTAGTTCCTTTGCCAGTCCCCAGGGATATGGACCCGTCTTGAGATTGATGACTGTGCTTTCACTGACTGGGAGAGTGGGGGGCAGTCATTTCCCCTCTCCAGGCCTCAGTTTCCTCTTCAGTACACAGTAACAGTAGGAGCTTGATTTGCTTTGATTTATTCTCTCATGAATGAAAGAGACCTGATATTTAAATGGAGGGGTGCCCTCTGAAAGCTCTGAGGACAGCGCAGGGAGGAACGTTTCTCTGCCCCAGTGATTGGCATTACACCTCAGGACTCTGTTCTCGAAGAACCTATCGGTGCCCGAGCCAGGCCCCTCCTCCCAGGCTGTTGCATTACACGAGCTGCCCTTTGACTGTGTCACCGCAGCCACCTGTGGAAGCTGGCTAAATTTCCCCGAAGGCCCAGGGCCCTCTTTTTTTGTCCTGTTTAAAGAAAAAAAAAAAGTGCCCTTGAGCTTCTGTGTTTTCCCTCTCCTAGGCTGGCAAAGCACACAGGCTGAGTGCGGAGGAAAGGGACCAGCTGCTGCCAAACCTGCGGGCCGTGGGGTGGAACGAGCTGGAAGGCCGGGATGCCATCTTCAAGCAGTTCCATTTCAAAGACTTTAATCGGGTATGGCACTGGGGTGGGACACAGTTCCTGAGACCAGGGCTGACGGGGTCACACTCCAGAATGTGTTCCCTCCCTTAGAGTCCTGTTAGTCAAGACTCTCAAGATGCTGTGCTAATCCGGTTTAGCTGTCTTCATCCAGTTTAGTTGGGGATAGGTCCTGGGCTGTCTCCGTTTTGTGTGTGTTAGTCGCTCAGTCGTGTCTGACTCTGGGACCTGCCAGTCTCCTCTGTCCGTGGAATTCTCCAGGCAGGAATACTGAGTGGGTTGCCATGGCCTTCTCCAGGGGATTTTCCTGACCCAGGAATTGAACCTGAGTCCCCTGCATTGTAAGCAGATTCTTTAGCCACCAGGGAGGCCTCCATGCCTGGAACTTTTAGAAACAGTCCTTAGTCTCCTTAGAAAAGGAGACAGTTCAAGTGGGAAACAGGTGACTATTTGAAGACGGTTTAATAGATAACCTAAAGATTGGCCAAGATGCAAAACCTCTTTGGGATTTCCACCTTCTTAGTGGTCCTGGTGATACGACTTTCTGCTGCAGAAAGGCCACCTCAAACTCCAGCCTCAGAACTAGTGGCAGGGTACTTGGAGGAATGCTTAAACCTAGAAAGGTCACCTTATAGGGATCGAGGCCATCCTCTTCCTTCTGGGCCTCACACTGACCATAAAAGGGAGTCCAGCCGTCCTCTCTCTCAGAATACTAACCTGGGTTTCACTTCATTAAACAGGCTTTTGGCTTCATGACAAGAGTGGCCCTGCAGGCTGAGAAATTGGACCACCATCCCGAATGGTTTAACGTGTATAACAAGGTGAGTGATGCATGCCTGGAACTCCAACTCCCTCTGAAGGCCTCTCCCTTGGACTTCCCCATGGGCCCTCCTCACTGACATAGTATCAGCTCCTGTTCCTTTCATCTCCTTCCTAGAATCGACTAAACAGCCCCTGGAAAATATTCAGTCTCACTGCAGGTTAAAAAAAAAAAAGGCAAACTAGAACACTAGTGAGATACTGTGTGGTTAAAGCAGACATTAAGGAGGCAAATCCCAAGGAAGGAAAAGCTGTGGGAACCAGGTATATTCATTGTTAATAGCTCTCAAGGGCTGAAATTTTTCTTGAGATATGGAAGAATGAAAAAGCAATAATCTTGAACTAAGAATACCCAGGCACACCAGAAAGGTCAGCCTGTCTGCTAAATGAACGGAAACAGTCACTAAATGCCTGCCATGCACCAAGCGCTATGCTGGACTCTTTCTAAAAACATTAAGGTTGGAAGAGACAATCTATAAATGGACAGTGTTTAGGAGTTGAAGTTGGTCTGGAGTCTTGTCTTTAGCTTTTAGGTTGCTCTTGATATTTGGATCTTTCTTTTTTATCCTGTGCTGTAGTCACCACTGGTCATGGAGATGGAATAGAAGACAGTTTTGCCCTGTTAAAGACTGCTCAAGAAGGCAGCCCCGGGGAGAGCCAGTTACTGTTAAGTGCCTAGTTACTCTTCACAGTATGCTTGAGCCCAGAGCTGGCGACTCCCTCCAGCTCGTAGGTTCAGCTGGTGGAATCAGCTGGCCTGGAATCTCTGGTTTTGTTTCAGGTCCACATCACCCTGAGCACTCACGAGTGTGCGGGCCTTTCAGAACGGGACATAAACCTGGCCAGCTTCATCGAGCAAGTAGCAGTGTCCATGACATAGAACGTGCCCTTCTCTCAGTTCTTCCGGGGAAGGGTGGGGGCACTGAACTGGGGATCCAGAGAGGAAACTGGGGGAGCACCAAGATGCTACTATAGTCAAAACCGCCAAATCGACCCTGCTGCCTCCATTTAGGGGCAAGTCCTTGCTGTTGGAAGGAGAGGCCAACATCACTGCTAAGACCGGGAACTCAGACCGGTTTTACCCCACATCACTTTCATCTTCCTTGAGGCTCTGTGATGTGTACACTGATTTGAATAAGCTCTTCTTTCATTACAACTCTCCAGAAAAAATGACTTTATTTCCAAGCTGTGTCTTATTCCTTTTCTAATTTACTTTCCAAAAAGCTGTGATAAAAGCTGTGTCTAAGATAAACATAGTCTTATGTTAGAAGCTAGGACCCTAGGGCCATCTTTACCCTATGTGACAGAAACTCATGCACTTTTATGCCTAAAATAAAACTGTTGTTTCACTTGGCCTCAGGCTCTAGAATCTTCTTTTTCACAAGCCAATCCAAATTGGAATCAGTAGACATTTAAAGCACCTACTTTGTACTTTGTACAAGACAGTGTTCAGACTACTAAGGGGAAAGGGGACCAGAACACCCTAAGCTCCTATTGTCTCTGGGAATTAAGTAGAAAAATATTTAAATATTACCAGGCAGCATGAATGAAGTTAATGTCAGATGCAAAGACAAGAAATGAGTTAATGAACATACAGTGATTCACACAGTTGAACCAGGAAGCTTCATTTGACTTGATTCTTGAGGCAGAGATAACTGAGGGAGCATCTTGAACAAAGGTAAAGGTTAGCCAGATAGTTTTATGCGTGATGGGACCTACGACTAGGTCTTCTTCCTGGCTGACAGCATCCAATGTGGAGATTTTTTTTTTTTCTTGAAGCATAGTTCTTTTGCCATATTATGTTAATTTCAGGTGTAAATCAAATTGATTCAGTTATATATATGTGTGAGTACATATATATATATATATATATATATACACACACATGATATATAGACATGTTTTTTATACTTTTCCATTAAAGGTTATTACAAACTATTGGATATAGTTCCCCTTCTGTACACTAATCCTGTTGTTTATTTATTTTATATGTGATAAGGTATAGCTATTAATTTTGTACTCCTAATTTATCCCTCCCCCACCTTCCCCTTTGATAGCCATGAATTTGTTTTCTATTGCTATGTTTCTGTTCTCTAATTAGTTAATTTTTTATATTCCACATATAATATCATATGTCTATCTTTGACTGATTGCATGTAGTATGATAATCTCTAGGTTCATCCACATTTTTGCAAACAGCATTGTTTCTTTTTTATGCCTGAGTAATATTCCATTGCATATGTGTGTCTGTCTGTGTGTGTGCACATGCACACATACGTGTGTGTACAGATATATATACCAGGGGTCCTCAACCCCCCAGCTGAGGACTGGTACTGGTCCATGGCCTACTGGGAAATAGGCCACACAGCAGAAGGTGAGTGGTTAGGCAAGTGAGTGAAGCTCCATCTGCTGTTCATCATTGCTGGCATTACCACATGAACCTTCCCTACTCCATCTGTGGAAAAATTGTCTTCCAAAAAACCAGTCCCTGCTGTCAAAAAGGTCAGGAACCACTGATATAAACTGTATCTTCCTTATGTTGATGGGGACTAGGGTTCCTTCCATGATTTGGTGATTATAAATACTACTACTTGCATATTGGGGTGCATGAATTTTTTCCCCAATGTGGACCTATCATTTTTTTCATGAAAAGCAATTAGAGAAAGAAACAAAGAGCTTATATTTCCCTAAATGCATTTTTATTTTTGCATTTATAATAGTTACTGGAAATGTTTTTTAGGTTTTAATTTTATATTGGGGTATAGCCGATTAACATACAATGCTGTGGTAGTTTCAGGTGCATGAAGGGACTCAGCCTTACATACACCTGTATCCGTTCTCCCCCAAACTCCCCACCCATCCAGCTTACCATGTGACCCTGAAAACGTACAGAACATGCTGTATAGTTCCGTGTGCTATACAGTACATCCTTTTTGGTTATCCATTTTAAATATAGTAGTGTGTAGCATATATATTTTTTAGGTAGAGCTTTTTGGGGGGTATATTCCCAGTAGTGGGATTCCTGGATTATATGATAGCTCTGTTGTTAGATTTTTAAAGAATCACCATACTCTTTACTGTTGAGGCTGCACCAGGTCACGTGGCCAGCAAAAGGGTAGAGGGATTGCTTTTTCTCCAATTCCTCTCCAGCATCTATTATTTGTAGCCTTTTTGATGATGGCCAAGACTCAGACCAGTGTGAGATGACAACTCATTGAAGTTTTCACTTGAATCTCTCTGATAATTAGCAGTGTTGTCTGTCTTTTCATGTGCCTGTTGCCCATGTGTATGTCGTCTTTGGAGAACTGTCTCTTGAAGTCTTCTGCCAGATTTTAAAATTGGGTTGTTAATAGTTTGGTATTGGTTGTATGAGCTGCTGGTATATTTTAGAAATGAAGCCCTTGTTATTCACTCTTTGCAGATATTTTCTCTCAGTCCATAGCTTGTCTCTTGGTTTTGTGTATGCTTCCCTCTGTTGTATAAAAGATGGTAAGCTTGATTGAAGTCCTGTTTCTTTAGTGTTGCTTTTTCTTTCTGTAGCCTTGGGAGACTGACCTAAGAAAACTTTGCTAGGATTTATGTCAGAGAATGTATTGTCTAATGTTCTCTTCTAGGAGTCCTGTGGTGTCATGTCTTTTGTTTTAAGTCGGTAAGGCATTTTAAGCTTATTTTGTGTGTTGTATGAGGGAGTGTTCCAGCTTCATTGATTCACATGTAGCTGTCCAGCTTCCACAATACCAGTTGCTGAAGGGACTGTCTTTTCTCCATTGTATATTTTCTTGCCTCCTTTGTCAAAGATTAATTGACCATAGGTGTGTGAATCTATTTCTAGGCTCTTGGTCATGTTCCCTCAATCCATGTGGCTGTTTTTGTGCCAGTACCGTGCTGCTTTGCTTACTGTGGCTTGGTAATATGGTACGAAGCCTGAGAGCTTTCATTTTGTACACAGAATTGCTTTGGGCATTCTGGGTTTTTCTGGTTGCATATACATTTTAGGACTATTTATTTTAGTCCTGTGAACAACGTCATAGATAGTTTGATTTCAATCATATGAAATCTGTAATTTGCTTTGAGTAGTACACACAGGCATGCTAAGTTGCTTCAGTTGTGTTCGACTCTTTGTGACCCTATGTTCTATAGGGCCAGGCTATGTCCATTGTGTTCTCCTGGCAAGAATACTGGAGTGGGTTGCCATGCCTCCTCCAGGGGATCTTCCTGACACAAGGATCGAACCCATGGCCTCTGCACTGCAGGCAGATTCTTTACCACTGAGCCACCAGGGAAGCCCCGCCCCCACACCCCAGAGAACAGGGTAGCTGTCAAATTTTGAATCATCTTCAGTTGCCTTTATCTGTGTTTTATAGTTGTCAGCAGATAAGTCTCTCACCACCTTGGTCAGGTTTATCCTATGTATTTTATTTTGCTTTTTGGTATGATTTTAAATGAGACTCTCTGCTTCACTTTCCCATTCTGTTAGCATAAAGAAATGCAGATGATTTCTGTATATCGATTTTGTATTCTGCTACATTGCTGAATTTGTTTATCAGTGCTAGTAGTTCATGTGTGACATCCTTAGGGTGTTCTGTGTATACTGTCACATCATCGGCATGGCATGACAATATCACCTCTTTCCTTCCAATCTGGACACCTTTTACTTGTGTTCTTTTTTTCTGGTTGTTGTGGCTAGGATTTCCAATATCATGTTGGATAGAAGTGGAGCTAGTGGGCATCTTGATTTGTTCCAGATTTCAGTGGGAAGGCAATCAGCTTGTCACTAGTGAGCATTATGTTGGCTGTGGGTTGGTCCTACATTGCCTCTTCCCGTCCCTACTTTGGGAAAAGTGTTTATGATGAATGGATGTTGAATTGCATGAAATGCTTTTCCTGCATCTGTGGAGATGATCATGTGATTTTCGTCTTTTCCTTTGTTGATGTGCTGGGTCACTTTGATTGACTGATGTATGTTGAACCATCCTTGTGAGCCTGAGATGAATCCAACTTGATCGTGGTGTATGATCCTTTTTTATGATTAAAATGTTGTGATAATTTGTGGTGTGGAGAGAAGTGGCTCAGTTAAATATATGTATATCTCTTTATTCCTTGTCATAATGTTTTCATTATAGCTCCTTATAAGACATTGAATGGAGTTCCCTGTGCTATATAGTAGGATCTTGTTTTTTAGTTCTATATATAGTGGTCTGCATCTGCTAATCCACAACCCCTCATTTATTCCTCCCCCACCCTTTCCCCTGTGGTGACCATGAGTTTGTTTTCTGTATATGAGTCTGTTTCTAATTTGCAAATAAGTTCATTTATATCATATTTCAGATTTCACATATAAGTGACCTCATAGAATGTTTGTCTTTCTCTGACTTCACTTTGTATGCTCGTCTCTCAGTCTGTCCACATCGCTGCATGTGGCATTCTGTCCTCTTTTAGTGAAGACTGAGTAGTATATTCATGCGTATATGTAGAGATATTCATGTGTCTATAGAGCACAACTTTTTGCATTCATCTGTTCATGGTCATTCACGCGGCTTCCATGTCTTGGCTATTGTGAACAGTGCTGCTATGACCCTTGGAGGATGTACATCTTTTTGAATTAGAGTTTTCTCCAAACAGAAACCAGGAATGGGATTGCTGGATCATGTGGTAACTGTTTTTAGTTTTTAAGGAACCTCCATACACTTCTCCATAGTAGCTGCACAGTTTCAAGGCCACCAAAGGGTATTGGGGTTCTTTACTCTCTACATCCTCTCTGGCATTTATTATTTGTAGCTCTTTTGATGATGGCCTTCTGATGAGTGTGAAGTGACGATTCATTGGAGTTCTGACTTGGACTTTAATAATTAGGGGTTTGGCCATCTTTTCACATGCCCT